CAGAAACTAGTGGCAGCCTCAAACCCAGCAAAAGTGCAACTATGTAACATATCTGACCTATACTTTCAAGTGCTAGAATAGGATGTCGACACTACAATGTGAACAACAATTTTGAAGTTTGATCATAAGTTCGAATCTTCTTACCTTTGCTCTGGATCATCAAGAGTTCACCATATTATGGAATTAACAACTATGCTTTTTATGCTTTTCAATCATTTCAAAATCAACTATACTCCAAATGATTGACGATTTCATCCTCTTCCCTGTTCCATTCTCCATTCCTTTAGTGGTGACTACAAATTTTGTCTACCAATTGTACTATGTAATTTTGAAACACCTTCATATCCTTCATAATTAGTTGTAACAAATCATGCATATATCAACAATATTCATACACAACCATCACGAGTAGACCATAGTTTCATCTAGTCAAACTTCAATTTTAACCAAACATTTTATAGGACCTATTAATTTTATCAACTTTTCAACCACACAATTCATCAACTTTTAGCATAATATGCTAAAACGAATATCGAAAGCTTAGTCAAACAAGCCCCAAATTTCTTGAGCAATAACTTCAAAACCAGCCACATAAAAGTGGAAAAAGGTACCACAACGGTGCCGTTAAATGTCATATCATTATCATAAAGACATCAATGACAAAACATCTAATGAATGGTAAGAAACACAGTCACTTACAAAATCTCTACATAAACAACCATAGGCCAAAGTGCCATCATGCTAACATTTGGCTACAAATGGCATACCCACTAAGAGTAGTGGTATATAATAAGAAGTGAAAAGCCAATATTGTATATATTATGGCAGATTATCTCAAAATATAACTGAAACTAACACGAAATCTAGTGATATCAAACACTTTAGCAATTGAATGAAAGAATGGGATGTCATGCAAAAATATCATTAGAAATTGCACAAAATGCCTTGCAGCAGATAGATAATCTCAGTTATGTTAAACTACAATATGGCTCAAGACAGACCCGGCCCTGGCCCAAGGCAACTGAGGCCACTGCCTTGGGCCTCAAATTGTAGGGGGCCTCATCTGTTAAGGATTAAAAAAAATATATATATATGGCACAAGAAAACGAACCGCCTTTCTCCATAAATCATTTTTTCACCGTTTTCTTCTTCGTCTTCTCTTCTCCACCAGACCACCACAAGCTAACTTCTCTCAGGAGGCGGAGGCCCAGGCGGCCAGGCTAGTAGGTCGATTAAGGAGAGGCTTAACGGAAATTCAGCGGCTGATTTTGGTTTACGAAGACCTGTCTCCGGCAAGAGGTCATCCCTTTTTATTTATCAACATGCTCGTTTATGTCTCTGAACTAATAAATTAACTTTTGTCTCGTATTGTTTTATTATTTGAATTGATTTGTTTATAAATTTTTGAGGAATGGGTTTAGTTTTTCTGCCGTCATAAGATTAGTTGAGAGACATTTATTTTGTATTGATGAAGTTTTGTTTAGTTCTATAGTTACCGACCTGTGAAATAGCCGGAAAGTTCTATTTTGGGATGTTTACAGATACTAATGGGAAGAAGAAACAGTATTGCCATTAAATATTTTAAAGTCTATTCCGCGTTTTTGCGGCTTCTTCGATTGGGCTTTGGTGTTCACCATTGTATTGATATTCTGCTCGGTTCTTCCAGAAAGTAAAGATATAAAGAAAGAGAATTATTGAATTAAAAGACTATAATTGAGATGAGATTTCTGGTTGTAAAAACTACTAAAATTTTGGACAAATGAAGCGGTACAGAAATGGAGAAACCTGGTAAAAATGTAAGGTTGAAATACATAGTTTCTAATATTCAGAATCAGGACTTAGAATAGAAAAAAGAACTCTAATAATCATTTTTTGTGCACTTCATAGGACATTGACTCCTGATAATAATTTGAGGCGTATACAATTTAGTGCACTCCTGGTACGTAAGATTTGTAGTGTTTTCATTTTGGGGCTTGTTGCTTCTAAATGAAAATATTAGGAATACAAAAATATCAACTTAAAAAAGGAGAAATTATTAAAAAGACAAGTAAACTGGCTCATGTTGGGAAATTCAGAGGGCAAACTGATGCAAGAATTACATAATCCTTAAATAATTTCATAAAAAGCAACCGTAAGGTATTTTATGGGAATGAGTCTTGGGAATGTGTTCTATTTTTATAATTCCTATTATATGGTTTTGATATGAGATAATGTATGCCTTTTATCATGTCCCTAAAACTTATTTTGTTACTTCCTTCTATCTAGCAAAAAACGAAGTGTACAAGCTATGCTCACTACTAAACATAAACTGCAAGTAGAATTTAACAAAAATGGAGAAGCTATAATTATGTTATTTAGTTCATTTTCTTACCATCTTATGTCTTTTTTCTTTGAATTTAATTTGGATAAAATTGCTCTAATTATGTTCCATATTTTTTGAATAAAAGTGCTCTAATTATGTTCCATATCATCTTACAGTCGCATTGTCTACTTCAATCACCACTGCGACCGCCAATTTCTGAATACTTTCATTTTGAGACTCATCAATCAGGTTTTATCACTCTTTACTTGTTATTATGTCTACGAGAAAATTTGAATCTGGATGTGCCAAAAGAAAAAGGAAGGAAAAGATTGAAAAGTTGATTAAATCTCAAGAGGGAGCACTTGATAAGTTTTTTGGTAGTAGTAAATGAACACACAACGATGACATAGCTGCTGAAGAAGTGTTAAATGAGAATGACAACAATAATAATACAATTGAAGAAGGACATTGTGTGATGAATGAAGAGGTATCTACTGACAAAGATAATGAACCATTTTCTCTTGACCTTGTTGACCGAGCAAATTGGGGAAATATGAATACAAATTTAAGAGATTTAATTGTAATGAAAGGTCATGTAAGAGAAAATGATCTGGCTTTTCCGAAAGATGGAGCAAATCGACACTTCTCATCTACACATTACGTTCGACGATTACCTAATGGAGAGAAATATGATAGAAAATGGTTGATATATTCAAAAAGTTTGGATAAAGTATTTTGTTTTTGTTGTAAGCTATTTAAGAATGATGGGATCAAAACCCAATTGGCACATGATGGAGTAAATGATTGGAAAAATGGTGGTGAAAAACTTAAAATGCATGAAGCAAGTTGTGACCACATCAATAACATGAATAAATGGATAGAAATGAAATTAAGATTTG